ACTGATACTAGATAAGTTTACGATATTATTTCAGTCGATTATGAATTTTGATACTGGATGAGGTTGCGATACTGTTTCAAAGTTGTGCAAATCAATACTCTATATGATGATGCAGTAAAGGATTATTATTTTTGCCTGTACCAAGTCAGGAAAATGGCCATTGTTATATTATAGTTCGTTTCTGTGTGTGTTACATTTTAATGTTGTGTTTCTGTTGTGTCGTAGTTCTCCTCTTATATTTAATGTGTTTCCCTCAGTTTTAGTTTGTAACCCGGTTTTGTTTTTTTCTCAATCGATTTATGAATTTCGAACAGCGGTATACTACTATTGTCTTTATTTGCCAGAACGAAGGCACGTCATGACTTCGTATTGTCTGCAATGTATGTGAAACAGGTGTTGGTACCTATCGTTTGGTCTCCTACTTAGGACAAATTGTAAAAATATTATAAAAAGACTTAATCGGGGTTAATATAAAACATTTACATAAATTGTCAGCCTTCCCTTTTAAGTGAGTTATGGTGTGAAGAAATTCATTCACTTTACCTAAAAAAAAACCAAAGCAAACATAATATAATAACTGAATCCTTTACATGCACGATCTTAATATGTAAGTAAAGTACAAGTCATTGACAGTAACATGTTACTAGCATGTAAAAAGTCCTGGAAAACAAATGGTAGTTTTATGTTATGTCTTAACATTTATATAACAGTAAATGTCAAACGTTCTAACTGTACGTTTATATAAGAAATGTTAACCTTGACTTTTTTCTATAATTAATATATTAAGAATTAAAAATAGAGACGTCTATTTTGTAACATGTTGTTCTAAAAACAAAACATCAAATATGACTCAAAACAAAAATACAAAAAAAAATAAAGAAAGCAACTACTTAACTGGACATTGATATACTACCTTTTTTATTTTATTGATACAAAGTAAAACGTGCATCAGTAGTGTCCAGTTTCTTGTTCACCTCCACGACGATTAGGATTGGACTACTTTTGGAGTACATTTGCGCCATACTCAACATACATGTTTGCATCCACAGCCAATATTCAAAATTTCCTTGATTAACAATCATTAAATAGAAAGAGTTTTTCAGTCTAAAATATATCATTAGTAAAACTATGAATTATTTTTCCGATAAAAATATTTCAATTTGACTGCATATGACCTCCAATGCATGCAACTCAGGATAAGAATACGTATGTACTACCAAACTATCAACTTAAAGTTCTTATAAAACACTAAACACCTTTCAGTCTCGAACAAATGCACAAAAATAATGATCTGCTAATAATTATGGTAATAATACGTATAATAAAAATGATGAAACGAATAAGAAATATTATTTAATATGCAAATAAGTGATATGGTGCGCTGATGATAACACAGGGACTCGGTTAGCAGATTTTCAGTATACGGATATGAAAAGTAAACTGCACATTGCCAGAAAACAAAGAAATAGTGATGTCAACGTCAAATACGTTAATAAAGTAATACAAATAGACAGGAAATAATAAAAAAAAAAAACAAAAAAAACATTGATTAACAAAATTTTAATCTGCTAACCGAGTCCCTGTGGATGATAACACCTACAGTGGATGTACAACAAATGACACATGTCAATGGTCGCTTGATTGGCAAACATTCCATAACCAGTTCAACAGTAACAAACTTTCAAAATGCTTTAAACTTACTATACATGAAACTTTGGTCGAGTAGGTTTCTCGTTACATGAGAAAGAGACAATTTCCAGTCATTGCAATATTTCTCATGATTTATAACTGCCTTCTCTAATAGATTAATACAAGATTGAAATAGTTATAAAGACATAGACAGTTTGCAAATCGCATGGTAGTGTACAAATAGGATGTAACTTTGTGTAACGTCGATAAATGTCACTTCAACGCGTTGAATAAAGAATTCCAATTCTATATGGAGTAAAGATTGGGAAATTAAACAAATGTTTGCTTGTTTCTTTGGTGTAGAATGACAAAGGAAACCATGCAGATACAAGATAAAATTAAAAGCATTTCTTTGAAAGATAACGCGTTAATTTTTTAAACCATATATTTTATTGGCAAATTTGATATTTTACTCTTCAATGAGTAAACAAAAATACGAAATGAAAGTAACAAACTAACAATAACAAACCTTATAGTGAATCTATAGTTTATGTGAACGTGATAGAATGCAAAATGTCAGCACAATATACATAAAGCTGATTATCTAACTCTTAGTCGATTTATACTTTCATCGACTGGTTCATTAGTTTATAATCAACTTGTGGTTCGTTTGACCTGAGTTCTTCAATGGTGAAAATTCAAATTAAAAAAAGACGATGATGTCTGATGAGGTCACATCGAAAAAACACATCTTTTTGCAGATTAAATAAGGAAGATAAAGTTTGCCAAAATATCTTCTAACAAGCATAAAAGTAACAGATTTCATTACCGAAGCTCATGGAGTACGATATTTCTCCACTCTCGACATGTAAACGTTGATATTTGAACCACTCGGCAAGCCTCGCAAATTAAATTTGAAAATCTTTCTGTTTCGAAAGGAGAAATATTGTATCACACTAGATGCTGTGGTAGAATCTATAATGTTTATAGTACATTGCAGAAGAAATCAAATAGTTTTCATTTCAAATCATTTTTATTGTAACTATTTACCAGAACGTTTTCTTGCGTAATTATAATTGATAGCGTCCTTTCTAAAATGGGACAAACATTGAAAAGATTAAGGTTTCAGTGCTTGCAGGGGAGGTAATATTTTGACACTAGATTTCCCACTTTACAAATGAAGATTTTTGAATAAGGCCATTTATTTACGTTTAATTCAATATACATGACGTGGATAATGAAAAACGGAAATGTAGACTTGTTTGTGGGATGAAATGAATACGTCCTGGTTTAGTTGTTATCATTTAAATTTCAATGAATGGTAATGTTAGTGACAATAGCATGGCTGATGTGATCATAAAATTAAATAATTCATTTAAAAAAATGACAAAAAATTTCAGAGTTTGTTTGACAATCAGAAAATGTCTGATGGAAAATCAGCTTCAAAATATGAACTTGGAATTAATAATTCATTTTTGAAATCAAACGAACTACAAAGTATAGAATACTATCAACGGGTACATTATTGAGGGTATAATATTGTTTCCACTAGCAAACATTCTTTTATAATCTTTAATCATTTTTTCCTTACTTTTCAGACTCGGGCGAATAAAAGGTTGACATATTGTACAGTTGCATAAAAAAATAAAGAAAAGTTGTATGATTTCCAAAGAGACAACTATCCATCAGAGAACAAATGACGGGGATGTAAGAAACTAAAGGCCACCTTGCGGTCTTACGGTTTCTGACTTAAAGGGAATTTGTCTCGATAACAGATCTTTGAAAATATTTGTGAAATTTATTCACTACTTTTCTATACTTTGGATACGTTAAAAATTACAGTATAGCTACATGTCTATTGTTGCACATCGCATATAGATAACTCACATATTTGTCTAGATGGTTATTTATATACTGTGTCTTTGGGTTTTTGTCCAAGTGTCATATACCCAACATCTCCATTTATTTAAAGCAATGTTTTAATTAACTCTCAATCAAACATCAAGTCAGAAAATATGTAACGCACACCGTATTTTTTATCTTCAATACATGTAATTGTAGCCTACGAATTTTGTCTTCATATATAATCTATCAGTTCTATAATCTCTACCAAAACGTCTTCGGTTATGCTCCCTTCACATACACGGAGTTTTCTTACGAGTCTTTACGGATCGCCATATCGTAGTCAATCGCAAGCATCCTTACATAACTCGATCGCTGGTTTTCGAAACTCGCTACAACTCGCAGACACTCTTAAGGATCCGTGAAAGGAAAGGACAATTTGTTGACATGTCAAAAATCTTCTACGATTGTCCACGGATTGATGTTTCCGTAAATAACTCATAACCATCAGTAAGTATTGTAAACTGCTCGTAAACAGATTGCAACAACACGTAACTATATATACATTAACTGCTCGCCAAGAATCCGTTTACGGCCGATTATAACGTGTGCTAATGTGTTGCTTATGGTTTAAATCGTGTCGTGATACTATCGCTAAAACAATTTTTTACGAGTTATGACAAGCATATTACATGTAGTTACGAGTTCCTTACGAATTAGATTGGCCTTTATTTAAAGTTTGATATTCCAAAGGCATACTGAATATTTTTAAGAAGGGATCCAGCCTACTTACGAATAGATATGTATACTTTACGTATTCGTTCGTATTGTTTACGATTTGGGAAAGGTATAAAGATGCAAAATTGAAAAGCTCGTAAATACTCATAATCAACTCGTCACTATTCATAACAACACGTAAACAGGTCGTAACTAACACGTAAAAGGTACAATGAATAGTAACATACCGTTATATTCTCGATATAATCCGTAAAAAGATCGTAAAATGCCTGTAATTTTCTCGTAGTTATCCGTGACAACTCGTAACAAATCGTAGAGTTTTGCCGTAAATACATCGTAATTATTCGTAATAATCCGTAAATAGCTCGTAATAACTCGTAATATCTCTTAAATCAGCCGTAAAAGTGGCCAAATCGTAAGGGTCAATGAATTTGTTCGATCTGTAAAGACTCGTAAGAAAAATCCGTGTATGTGAAGATTAGATGAATAACAAAAATCGCAATCAAGAAAGTTAAATAATACAAACCAAATGTAGTTGGAACAAAGGTATAAGTGAAAACTTTCAATATTTTAATGGGCCAAGGTCTATTTTTTCTTTAGTTTTTGTTCTCGTACAACGCAAAAGTTTAATCTCACCCAATTAAACTGTTATATAAAGATTTATGTAAATTTGATGGTCTTATGTTATGTTTTATATTTATTTTCACCTGCACTTGATATAACACTTGTTAGTGTCTATATTAAACATAAAACCTTCGTAGTTGTCATACACGTTCTGATTGATGTAACCATCAAAACCTATTACCACAAAACTGAAGTTTCCCCATTAATTTTGTCTGTTCTACCGGCGCAGGAAATGGAAAGGATTTATTATAAATAATAACAACCTTATTGACTTATTTTTGTCTTTTTCCTCAAGTAAAGGTAAGATAACATTAATTTTGTCAACTTACCGTTGATGGAGATTCTTAGTTATTGTGAAACACAATTATTATGAACGTATTTAAGTTTGTTAATCGCTTTGTGTCAAGTTTTTTTCAAAGTGGCGTCGTAAACGTTCTTTCTTTGATATATCGCTCTAGTGTTCCCTATTTTATTATCTTTCAATTGCAATAATGTTTAAAATGCTTTTTCATATAGAATAAATGGTAAGAAGTGTATAATCCACTGGAGTTTGAATTTTATTACGTAAGTTGTTGGGGATTTAACAACATTTCCTCTAGATCTTAAGTAACTCTCATCTCTTTAGAGGATCTGTTTGAATTTTTCGTCCATATATTGTATCTATCAAGTGTTTTTCGTCCAATTTACTATATTTGTCATTTTGAACACATACTTACTTAATATTAAATGCTGTAATATTTTAATTTCAGATCTTTTAAACAGAGAGAATGAAGAATATAGTATGTTATATGTTTATATTAATTTGTATGATTTTAATGAACAATGCGTTTGCAAAACGAATAACTTTACAAGGAATAAATAAACGATCAATGACGAATCATGAAGTGCGAGATCTTTCAAAAGCATCTGATGGGAAAGGTGTCATGGTAACGCCTGGAAAGCCTCTTACTATCAACTTTTGTATCAGAGTGAATTCAAAAGTGCTTCTAAACAATCTAAGATTTTCCAATTTTAATACAAGTGCTTTATTTAGAGTTTCATTAGATCATGGCAAATGGATGGGAACATATTTTGCTCCTCCAGGGGATAGTTATAATAATTTTAGAAACACGGGTAGGTTTCCAAAACAGCATGAATTTGAATCCGGATGGCATGTTTTGAAAATCAATGTAAGTGAAACATCCTCTCCTATAGCACTTGATCAAATAGAATTTGATGTTTTTGACGACTATATAACTGAAAATATTTTAAACTGTGAAACCATATGTATACCCGATGGCAACTTTCCCGTAAAAAATCTCCAATTAACATCGCAAGCAACCATGGGGACAATATTACAACGTTCAGAACCGACCAAATGTGCAGAAGTTGATAACATAAATGTTGCGCTTTTTCACCCTTACATCAGCGAGTTTTCAATAACTGCATCCTTGCCTCAGTATCTTTCATTCTCGAACAGAAAGGATGAAGACCTATCCAACTGTCCACATCTATCACACATTGTGTGGAAGTTTAATCATTTTCGTCCTCAGCCAGGTATGCAGGTATTACGAGACAAGGAGTCTTCCCTTCTAGTAACCAATGGAAATGGTCAAGACAGAAAGGGGAAACACATTGTTGTATTATTTTATCTAGAAGGTTTAAGCAAAGGTAGTATCGATTCTAGAATTGGATCGCATTTGTTTCTGCGTTTTAAATCGCTAAATTCACGTACAATAGTGAATTTGAAATACAGAGAGGCAAATGGTAGTATGACTGAATCAGCAGAAAAAATTTATGACTCGTCTACATTGGAACATATGTGGAAAATTCCAGATTTTACATGGAGGGAGCATGTTGAAAATTATCTAATTTTATCTGTAGAAAGTCAATCAAATGAAGACTTTGAAATAGATGAACTGCGCATGGAAAAAAGGCCTATGGTAGCGGACTCTGTCGAAACAATTTACAGAAGTGATGATGTTATAATAGAGGCTGTATTTGTTGAATTCTGGTGGTTAGCTCCAGAAAGTATGACTGTAACACTAACAAATGGTAAAAAAACGAAAAATGTAGCATATATACGTTTCTATCGACCACTGCCTTGGAATGGCGGTTATGCTCAAGTGCTAGTTTTATACCAAGATGGAAATATTCGTTTGCTACCAGTCGCACCAGAAGGCATCGACTGGATACCATTCGGAACATCTGTCATTGTTGGTCAACCCCGCACCGATTCAAATAGACCATATGTTAACATACAAGAGGTAGTAATTGATCCAGAACGTTGGCAAATGGGTCTTTTATACAAGGACGGGTCTTCTGTACGCATGAAAATTAACTGCACTTATTCCGAAACACAATTATTTGTAAACGATTTGTACTTTACAAAAGATGCTTTTACAAACCCCTTTCTGACAATACGGTCCATGTTTGTATCAGAAGGCAACAATGATGTTGACAGCATTAAAATCGACAACAAACATTCAAGACATATAATGGACAATTTTGGTTCGATACAAGGGAGATCATTTTCGTTTTTTAGACGGTGTATATCTAAACATCTAACACTTAGTCCAGATATCCAAGTTGATATTGCAAGAACATCTTTCAGACCAACGTTTATACCACTGGCACATAGACATTTTGCTCGGCAAGTACGAAGAATGATGGAAAGATCTCCGATAAAGAAGTTGGAAACTGATTTTCAAACATGGCTGTAATTCATTTAACATCTGAAGAAGAGTCATTTTAATTCTTAATTGTGATGTAATAATATTTAAAATGTGAGTTAATATAGCAAACTTATTTTCACGAACACATTTTTGTAAATAGCCCTTTATAGCAAAAACCATGGCAATTCATATTAGCGATTTAATCCTGGTTTGATATATTCGATACGACTTATATGTGTACCAATTTTCTAATTGCGAAATTTGCGCCAAAAATCGCTTGCAAAAATTAATTGTTTTTTTAAATGGATATGTCCATTAATGTTGGGTAAATCGTCTAATTTTCCTATTTATTGCCATTCGTGCATATACCGTTAGCGATTTATATATTTGTACTGTGACATGTAATTTTGATAACATAATTTTATTCTTAAACATTGTTTACTTATTCAAAATATACCTGAATTTTAGTGGGGTTTCATATTTTCTAACATGTCGATGCATTTTAGTGTTGTGCTATTATTGTGTTGTATGTACTATAAAGGTTATATTCAATATTGTTTATGTTAATTGGTCTATACCATGTATTTTGATCTTTCAATACTGTCTCCTAGTGTTTTTGTAAATAGAGTACATCGACCCAGTTATCACCACAAGTTATATTGATAAAAGAGTGTCGTTTTTTTATATAGTATTGACAGATTTAACAAAGTTGCAAGACAAAAAAATTACTTTTTGAAAATTTGAATCGTCTTTTTTGTTTTTGTTTTGGGTCAATTTTTGATAAACAGATAAATGAATCTGTAGTTTCATTTCATGTATTTTTTTCTTTTGTGTTTTTTTATTGTTACTTTTTTAGTTAATTTGTTTTGACAATTACCATAACTATATAAATTCAATCGGGGATATTTTATATTTTGTTGAATCTATTGTGTCAATATTGATTGTATTTTTTCACATATTTCAAAAGGAAAATTGATGTAATTCTATATATATTGCACATGCTTTCATTTTCTTATTTCATAAGTCATTCATATTTGATGTTGACATTTGATTGATTTAATAAATTAGATAATTAAATAAATTGATTTTGTGGTAAAGAATAATGAATATTATATATTACATTATAAAGGCATTCATTGTATGTTGATTAAGTCGTGTAATTCCGATATTATTATTATAATCATTATAAATATTTTTTTTTTATTTTAATCATAGCTTTGTTAATCGTATCTATCACGAAACATATTACAGAGTATCTCCTGTCTTACGGTACCATTGAACCCTTATTTCTTTCAGTATTTCTATATTTGTTCCCCTGTTTGTATGCTAACACGTATGATCCGTTTATAATTTCGTTTCTAATTTTTGTTAATGTATAAACTGTGTACATAGTTCTGCCTATTTATTTATCTATTTATTAGACTAAGTATGACACTTTTTTTTTGTCATCGGAAAACTTGTACCATCTTTTTATCGATTGTTATTATTGTAGATATTTATGGCAAGTTAATGGATGACGTCTTATTTCTGTTATGTTCATTTTATAAATTGCAAATGTTTCCTTCCCAAATAAAAACATATAAACCTGTCAAGTGTTTTTACATTTCAACATCATTTTCCTAGGTTCGTCATTTTGCTTTCTAATTCAAGTCATTTTATTCGTTTGATGGTTTTGATTAAAATTTGAAGATGTAAAATACTTGACGTATTGTACAGACACAAATTTACATTATTGAAAAAAAACACTGAAATGTTTAAATGTCCAACAGAGCACATCAACCACCAGCGTCCAACTCCTGGCAAAATAATATTCGAATAACAAAATCAACGAACAACGCATGGTTTGGATAACCCGACCAGGTACAGGCACAAAATATGGTGGTATCAAACCAGTTTTAGAGGTTGACATAAATCTACCCCTTTGCCAATCAAGACCAGAGTCGTCAAAATGAGAAAAAAAATCATTCCTGCTGCCAGTAGGATTAACATTTACTTTAACAAGGAATAAAAGACAGTAATAATTTGGACTACAGGGTAAACATGTGCTCGCTGTAACTGGAAGCTAGCTTATGAAGTCATGGCTGATGGTTCAATTCTGCTGCTCAAGAACATGCTTGCCAACTTTGGAATTCCTGTTAGATTATTCTGTTTTATTTGGATGATGCTTTTATGTGTACCAGGAGACCTTATATTTTACATAGATTGAAAATTTATCCCACAATAGATATTCAAAACACAACAAAGATACATCAGAAAAGTAGATAACTGATATCAATGTTATCTCCAGATTGATCAAATTAAAGAAAAATCCAATTTTGGTTGGTATGTTTTTACACTAAGCAATGATTAAAACTAACCAAAAGCTTGAGAATTTGCCGAACCTTTTTGATAGAACACACTCCTTTACATTACAAAATATGATCCATATATGGCCCATATTTCAAACAGTAATTCCCCAAATTAGGATTTAAAGGCCCTTATCACAATATATCTCTGTACGTATATAGTTTTAATAGGAAATACGTATACATTTATTTGTTTACGTATCAGCGCTCTTTTTAGGACGCCCTAAGTAGCATTAAACGTTGTCCATTCATTTCAACGAAACATGCAAATTTCAATAGGTTTTAGGGACCGGAAACATAAATTGTATGTGTAGATGTCCCGGACAATATGAGTATTTGGGCCATATGTGTATGGTCATGACCAAATGCGTATACTAATATGGTCTAACCATACGCGTATGATCGGACCATATGAGTGAATATAAGTTGTACTGTTTGCTTCTGACCCCCTACGGATCCATGTGACGGCATTAAACCAATTGTAACGTCACTAATATATCCGAAGTGCGATTAAGTCGTTCGGTTATTAACGGACCGGAACGTACGAATATTTAGACCATAAGGTATTTTTAGAACAAATTCTAACTTCCTTCGCAGGAACACACTGCTCGTTCTTCAAACCAAAATCGACACACGTTACTAACTGAAATCCTTTATCTTTCATATATTGTATTAATCTTGGTGTATCTGTTATCTAGCCTTTGCTAGAGTCAATTTAAAGTGCCTCTTTCCTGTCGGCTTTTCCGCCTGTAAGTGAAACCGGGAACAGGCGTCAGTTGAGGCATCGACCTTTTTTCCGGTGTTGATATTATTCCTTTTTTTGTTTCTTCTAATATGTTCTTATTGTCGCTTAATTGGTGTGCTCTTGCTCCTATTCAAACGAACTTACCATTATAGTAGTTCATACGTGCTACCCTTCTATTCTAGTGTAGATGGATAGCACGTATAACGTACTGTTATTGTAAAATCGTATGAATAGGCGCATACACATATTAAATGACTAAAGTTAATTTGAAATATTAAAGACATTCTAATTAACTAAGACAAAAAACGAATTTAAAAACCAAAAATCAAGAAAATCAAAAACTGAAAAAGGGTACTTGTGAGTTAAACAGCCGACTTTTTGTTGATCGATTTATTGAAATTATTTTCCAAAGTCGAAGTCGATACATATTCATTATATGTTTCGTAAGGAAAATTCGATAATGACCATGAAAAAATGCTTTTACAATTAATTCACCAAATGATTAAATAAGTCAAAATTTCATTTTTAAAAACTCTTCATTTACGATATCTTGAAGGGTCATTCATACCTTATGCAATTTACAGTAATAGTAAATTTTCAACGTCCATCATATTAATTACGCGGACCATACGCGTATGGTTGGACCATATTATTAGTTACACATTGTGCAAGTGACCTAATACGATATATACCATCTTTACTGCAAGTTTATTGTCTTCTGTTTGGTATTAAATTCATATTATTAAAGATCCATTTTGTTACATCTTGTGATCCGTTTATTTGGCAATCGCCAATGGCAGTCAGCAGGGTTTAAGAACACCAGTTGTTCGACCTGTTAGTCAAATGCGTTTTGTTAAAATATACTTTTTCACTCTTTTGGTCTTTTGGAAAATGTTGTTTGTGCAGTATTTAGACCCCTCTACCAAGAAATTTGTTTTGCATGCACACGTATAAAAATTGCGGTTTTTATCCAACGCAATCATAGGTTTGAACGTTGTTTTCAATTTAGACTTATATATATATATATATATATATATACATGTATATATAGATTGCCTAACAATGTAATTTTAACACACTATTTAGTATGTAAATATAAGAATGTTTAAAATATTTACAAAATGATGAAAATAAACGCAATATTTCGCTAGACTAACTAGCTTTATCAAGCGTGCATCTATCCAGGTGAAATCGGATGTAGATGATAAGAAACTTTTGAAGCTCAATGTATATGTTGCACATGAATTTAGCTGCCTTGAATATAATACATAATTTGGATGAAGTTCAAGATTTTTACAAAATTGGTAGTTGAAGTTAGCAACGTCCATTGGCCAATATTACAGGATAAAAAGGACGATGCTGTGTACTAAATTATTCTTTAACTTTCCTGTATCTTTTCTCATCTTTTTCGTTAAGACCATCAGGTTTTAAAGTGTGGAGTTGGTGGATCCAAAAATTTTCTCTTCTCCTTCTCGCCGTGGTGTCCCACTCGGTGTTGACTTCTATGATTTGGAAAGTAGCTATAAAGTAAAACTAAAGTTTCTATGGAGAAGATAAACTTCCTCGACACCACGAGTTACATCAAGAACGGAACCATTATAACGGACCTTCATACCAAACAAACGGACAAACATCAATTCCTTTCTCCTAAAAGTTGCCGTCCTTAACACTGCTCCCGTGGCATCCCATTCAGCCAGGCATTGCGAATCAAGAGAATATGCTCTACTGAAAATACGCAAAATGCTAGACTTGGACAACTACGTAAAAATCTAGTTGTTCGAGGATACAATAACAACATCATTGATAGCGCTTTCGAAAGAGCAAACAAAACTAGTCGCCAAGAACTTCTAGAGTACAAAGATAAGAATAAAGCAGCTAACAGAACACCCCTTGTACTCACTTTTAAAAATGTGTCTTCCATTGTTCAGAAGCATTGGAAAATTATAGAAAATGATTCAAATCTTAAAAAAGTATTTTCCTCACCACCAGTCATGGCCTTCAGAAGACCTAAAAACATCCGTGACAAATTAGTGACATCTATATTAGCTATAGCAAAGCAGCCTACTCCATCTCCCGGTTGCTACAAACAATGTGGTCGAAGGAACTGCTTGTCTTGTAAAGCTGTCAATACAAACAGTTCTTTCATCAGCTCCGTTACTAAACAAAATTATACCATCTACTCAAATTCCGACTGTAAAACGGAGAACTCAATTTATATATTAACATGTGACACTTGTGGCATTCAGTACGTGGGAGAAACAATGGACAAATTTAATATTCGGCTCAATAACCATCGTTCATGGTACAAAACCAACAAAAACTGTCCTCTCACAAGACATCTTCGTTCAACGAAACATTCTTTTGATAATGTTACTTTCTAAATCATAGAAGTCAACACCGAGTTGGACACCACGGCGAGAAGGAGAAGAGAAAATTTTTGGATCCACCAACTCCACACTTTAGAACCTGATGGTCTTAACGAAAAAGATGAGAAAAGATACAGGAAAGATAAAGAATAATTTAGTACACAGCATCGTCCTTTTTATCCTGTAATATTGGCCAATGGACGTTGCTAACTTCAACTACCAATTTTGTAAAAATCTTGAACTTCATCCAAATTATGTATTATTTTCTAGGCAGCTAAATTCAAGTGCAACATATACATTGAGCTGCAAAAGTTTCTTATCATCTACATCAGATTTCACCTGGATAGATGCACGCTTGATAATATTCTAAACATTCTTATATTTACATACTAAATAGTGTGTTAAAATTACATTGTTAGGCAATCTATAATTTTATTTGTGTAATTGAATTAATCTCTGTACTGATTAATCCACACTCCCATAGATTTGTATGTCATGTGCTGCTATTTATAGGCACTTATACATGTATATATATGTATCGTATTAGTTTACTAGCACACTGTGTAACGAATTTATCATACGACTATCTTAACATGTGGCATTTAAACTAGTATCAAGTCTTCGATATAAAGAACCTACTTCCATTGGTCTATACAAAAACAAATGCCAACAATAACACCTTGTTAGTTTTTAATGTGTTTTCTGCATTTATTTCAATCGTTCATCATCAATTTCTTCGTCTGTTGTCCGGGCGAAACGTTTTTAAGATTTTCCCTCAACGTCGTGTTGTTTTAATGAAGGGACGTAACACCACTACTAATCGTGTATTAAAATAAACCACGCCTACTTACCCCATATCAAATATACGCGGTCACCACGCGGTCGCAACCGAAATTTCACATTTCTAGCAATCTTATATAAAAATTTATAAATTTATTTAAGGTAGAACTGTTGGACAAAAAACCATCAGCAACTCATGTGGCAAGCGCCTCTATGGTCGCCTGACATCATGTCAGCAGCGTTAAAAATTGAAAAGTTTAAAATAAACGCAAGATAAAAATTTGAAAGCAATTGATATAAGCTAAAAGTTTGAGTAAATAAATAAATATGGAAAGAAGTATAATAATAAACT